CTACACTGAGTGGCCAGATTATTATGACCACCCCATCAGTACTTTGTTGGGCCACCTTTTGCCTTCAATACTGCGGCGATTCTTCTTGGCATTGACTCCACGAGATGGTGAAAGGTGATGCGAGGGATCTGACACGGCACTGTTCCCCTTCTGTTGTCTTGTACCAGTCTTGCCCCTCCCCCGTTCTGCCCTAACATTGACTAGTCGCTGACGGCCACAATTTACACATTCAGACCCAGATTTTCGGCTGACAGTCCGGTCTTTAAACACTTTAACAATGAGCCCCTCTTAAACATTTAATGAATTCTGCTGTTTTGCTGATACTCGCTCCATGGCTCCGAGCGCCAACAATCATCCCACGTTCCAAGGCTGTTAAATCGCGTTGTTTCCCCGTATCTTCAGAAACAAATCACTTCTACTGTCGTGGTAAACAACCTGCTTCCCTATTTATAATGGTCTGGCCCTCTAGCAACTTCAGCGCCAAATTATAGATAATTTGCCTACAAACGTCAGGTGCTCATAATAATCCGGCCACTCCGTGTATATAATAATCTGGCCACTCAATGTATATATAGCTGGCAACCACAAGCATTAGGACAGGGATACACAGACTCTTACATCAGTTCCAGTCTCCCTCCAGTCCCAGGTTCTGCTTCCTCCTGGCCAGACCTTGCAGTCTTTATAATGCTGTCCACCAACATTCATGCTGCCCCAGGAGATCTTGTTGATTTCGGGAGAAGACATCCTTGAAGCCACTTTGGAAGAAAACAGATCGGAGCACAGCATTAGATTCCTGGGCAAAGATAACAGGGCCTGTACAGATCACACCTTCCCCAAACAGAAGCCAAAAGCAGAAGCTGAAACTTTATCAAAAGTATAACGGACCTTCAAGCTACGAGTGAGGAATGGAAGCAAGATTTGTATTGGTCAATGACAGAAAACGTATCGAGCTTGTAAGAAAAATCGGAAGATCTTCCAAGTCCACGTATCAAGTTTAACTTTTCTGCTGGTGTTTATTTTGTACATCTGGTAGCCAAAGGTATCCCCTGCACCCCTTATAGCGATCAAAACCTGATATGCTTACATTAGCAGTGGTGCTCATTAGTAATGTCCACGGATGGCGCCGTGCGTATCCAAGGTTAACAGCAATGAGGATCACCAGCACTCGAAGGATGAACTTAAATCCTTGTAATTTAATTGAAGAATCACATACAGTACGTTGCATAGCCGACGTTTCGGAACCACGCAGGGTCCCTTCCATCAGGGCGAACATAGTGACTTTCATCCCATAATACTAAGGGCCATTTCACACCGGGCTAGCAGTGGCAAAATCACTGTAATGCAATAACCATCTTCTGTAATGATCAGTCCCTCGCTGACTAAAACACTACAGAATTGTGACCCTCAATTAGGTATCAACAATGGAGTGACATCATTCTGGGAGGGAAAAATGACACAGGAGAAGGGCAGCGGAGTATGATCAATTCTGCTTCTGACACGATGTCACACTACTTAAAATCTAGTGTGATGTGGCTATTTCTATGGCTGCTGGTACCCTTGTCTAGGCTCCTTCTATGGCTGCTGGTACCCTGGTATAGGCTCCTTCTCTGGCTGCTGGTACCCTTGTATAGGCTCCTTCTATGGCTACTGGTACCCTTGTATAGGCTCCTATGGCTACTGGTACCCTTGTATAGGCTCCTTCTATGGCTACTGGTACCCTTGTCTAGGCTCCTTCTATGGCTGCTGGTACCCTGGTATAGGCTCCTTCTATGGCTGCTGGTACCCTTGTATAGGCTCCTTCTCTGGCTGCTGGTACCCTTGTATAGCCTCCTATGGCTACTGGTACCCTTGTATAGGCTCCTTCTCTGGCTGCTGGTACCCTTGTATAGGCTCCTATGGCTACTGGTACCCTTGTATAGGCTCCTTGTATGGCTACTGGTCCCCTTGTATAGGCTCCTATGGCTACTGGTACCCTTGTATAGGCTCCTTCTCTGGCTGCTGGTACCCTTGTATAGGCTCATTCTATGGCTGCTGGTACCCTTGTATAGGCTCCTTCTATGGCTGCTGGTACCCTTGTCTAGGCTTCTTCTACGGCTGCAGGTACCCTTGTCTAGGTTCCTTCTCTGGCTGCTGGTTTATGAGTACTTGTAATCTTGAAAATGCCCCAATACTAAAAGGCCAATACCAGCTTTGAAATTTTTTTAAGAAGTTCAGCTGCCTGAGTTTGCACGCTTGCTGGGGACTTCAGGCAGCCTGCTAGGGACCTTAGGCAGCTGTCCTTGACAGTGCCTGTCCGGCCCCACATCTCCTCCTCCTTTCCAGCGACTGCAGAGACAGGCACAGCCCCACACCCCACGTACAGGCACCAGCACTAACCAGAGAGCCCGGTATCCACATGCAGCCCTGGTGAGACCCGCGTGCACCATTCTCTAAATTATTGGGAAGAGTACATTTTACTCTCACAATACTTTTACTTTAAAACGGGACAAAGTGCTACATGCACTTAGTTCCCTGGGGCATTGGAGGGACCTATGATGACTACGGTGAATGTAATTAAAGCCAAATACTATTATACAAATGTTTATACGACATCATAAAAAGTATTGCTAATTGTTCCAGTTCAGCTATGTTGTCCTAGATTGTTCCCTTCTCCAAACTCTTCGACCTTTAGTGAACAGACCTGATAGTCACTTTATAAAAAGACAGTTTATAGCAGGGCTCAGCAAATCTCAGGACCCAAAGTAGCCAATGCTCTTCAAAAATTACAGCTGGCACCTAACTTCTGAGGTTTTCACTTGTCTTCAATAGAGATAGCACCGAAACAAAATCCTTCTGGCTACTGGACTGGGAAGACTGGCTCCTGCATTCCATATTACATTTGTCCACTGCTGCTTTATGAGCCATCAGAGGCTCACAAATGAAAGTACATTCTGTATACACTTAGCTGGCCTTATTAAAGTTTATTTATTCCTCTGCGACCCTCATTGATTTATAATTGTTTAACCTTTCATTCTAAAATTGTGTATTGCATGGACACCACATGGGCACATAAATTATATAT